ACAGGAATGCAACTATGTATACAACTTTCATGTGATTCCGCTACTTTACAACCATTTTCTCAAAAGCTTGGCTCTTATCGCTTTAAACTCTGAAACACAAATGAATAAGGAGAGCTACTATCTCGTCCTACAAATCTCCCTCAGTTGATAAACCTTTACTTACTTGAACATGGATCCGAAGATACAAGTCCCTTCCCGCCATTCCAATTGCAGTCAAGAGGTTTATTTCGAGTTTATCTGCTTCTGTCTCCATACATTCCAAATGAGCCATTCATGGGTTGTCCTTATGAGTAACGAATTATAGTACACACTGGTGCTTCAAGCAGACATGGCTTCCTCAATTCTTCTAATCACAAGACTAAGAGGACTTCCCACTTGGAGAGCTTCAACAGCGGCCCTATGTGCTGCTTTGTGCCACTTGAGCAGATTGTAAGATTGTAGAACAGACCACCTGGCTTGATTCGACATCTGTATAAACAAAAACTGATTAACAATCTGCATACTTGTGCAAGACAAGTGGAAGCGTGTAGACTAGTTAGTCACATCAGACCTGAGCCACGGATAACGGTGGTTGCAGAAGGACTGAGATGCTCCTGAACAGATTTTCATCATTCTCCCCACCCTCAGCCTCACCATAAACTAGCGCTTCAGCTGCAATACCAGCAAAAAGTACCATGCTATACCTAAGAGAAACTGAACCACCATCAGGGTTGAGAATGAGACAAAGTTCACAGGGAAAGAACAACGCCTTAACTAACAATCACCTATCAAATGAGCTACCGCTAAGTCGTCCCTCTGCAATCTCACTCTCCATCTTTTGATCCCAGAACTGGGTTCCAGCCTACAGAAACACATGAAAATCCAGTTCTGTACTCGGTTTTCATATGTAGCTAAAAGGTGCATAGAATCAAAGCACTACAATATAGAATAGTATCATAGTACTACATTGCATCCGAATAATACCTGGCCTTGAACCCCCATTTGCATGGCAACTATCGGATCCAGTATCACACCACGGATTGGGCAGCCCATGAGGTATGCTGCACAACAGGAAGCCACAACTGTTAGCGACAAACCGACCAAGAAAATATATATAAAAAAACCAATTACGTGATGATCACCAATTTCTTACCAACAAGAAGATGACCCGCTTCGTGAACTATGATTCTACGCTTATGTGGAGGCCAGTAGCATGATATTTGTGCTAAACAGGTACCACCGAGAAGAACTGAATCCATAAAAGCAAGACCCAAAATGGCAGCAAGGTTTGGCCGCAGATCAATATCCTGAGAAAGAAGATAGGAGACTCCACCAAGAAAAGCAGCCAGAGCAATGCTAGAGCCGTCAGAAAGACCCCACTTCTTTGGTGCAAGTTTAGTCACTAATCAAAATAGAAACTCAAATTAGTTTTAAATGCCACTCTTGAGTAACCAAAGATGACTGACTAGAGAAATTTCAGGTACAGACCTTCCAAACCAGTTGCAGACTTGAGGACAGTAGGTGTAACCTCTCTTGTTCCCTCCAAAACTGCATGAGAGTGATGCAAAGCACGAAATCATTGATCCACTGGGCATAATAAAGATGAAAGAAACTTCTTAAATGACTCAATAAACCAGTCCAAACCTCAGGGTGAAACTAACTATCTACCCAAAGTACATCTATACAGAAGTTGAGACCCAAAGTAGCATCAAATGGAATTGAAAAGACCAAAACTTTAACTGATCGATCCAAAGCTCAAATGCCAAAAACTGAAAAAACCCAACAAGATCATAGCCAAGGAAAAGACAGTACCAATATTGCTGAATTTGCCAAAGTTAGCAAGTAGACCTCTCTCCTTGAGAAACCTAAATGCACTTCCAACAAGCCTCATATCATCTGCATTCAAACACGCATCTAAAACCTGCCAATCCCTCTCCAATTCAAAAGCTCTCAGACCGCTTAACTGAGCCGTTACCGGAGCCGCGACAATAGACTCGACCGCATCACGATTTTCATCGTTTTCGATGGATTTGAGAAATCTGAGAGCCCCGGCGAGATCCTTTCTTCTGACAGCGTCTTCGTACTCCCGCCATTCCCGGAGCGCGCTCGGTCTATGACTCCGGAAGCCAAGAGGCCGTACGCGAGGAACGAGGAAGCTGCTTTGGCGAGAAAAGGGAGGAGGATAAGGTGATAGAGAGAGATTTCTGAGACATGGAGGAGACGACGGAGGCAAGGCCATTAGAGCGCCGGAACTTCCCAAAAGTCAGTGATCTAATTAATAGCCGACTAGACGGAAGGTCAGAATTAATTGGGCCGTATAATAGTCAGAGAGGCCCATTGAGTTTTTCTTTTAATTGCAAATAAGTCACTTAGTTTAGTCATATTTGTGATTTGAGTCAGTCCTTTTACTTGTTTCACATTTATGGAAGTAAACTTTTTGGTGTTGAAAAGAGGGGAAACAGATTAATTTTTTAATTTACTATATGAAGTATTTAAATATGGTCATTTTACATAAAACCGTTAAGTGAGTCAACTTTCCTTCCGGGTGGAAGCAATTACGGAAGGAAGCACGTTACCGGTAGACACAGATTCGAATTGATGTTTTATTGTCTATTATATTTGTACTTAACAACTAAAACTAGAGTTTTTTTTTATTTACT